TTTTTTTTTTTCAAATTAAAGTACATTACATTAGCTTTAATTTAAGATATATATAAAAGTGTCAGACCTTACGGAACATTTTCAAAAGTTAAGTTGAAAAAGTTGTCATTTTAAATCCCCCCCTGTGGGCAGGTTAAGTGTCAGATTTACAAAAAAAATATACCAAATTATAGGTAAAGACATCAAGCATCTATATAAAAAAAAGAATTATATTGATATGTTCATTTTTGAAAAAGTTAGAGCGTTATTAAGTTAAAAATATTAAAAAAAAATTATTTTACAAAAATCATAATTTTTTATTAACTTTGATGTCAATTTTCACCACGAAGACAAGTCCAGAGGTCAAATTTTTTTTTTTCAAATTAAAGTACATTACATGAGCTTTAATTTAAGATATATATAAAAGTGTCAGACCTTCCGGAACACTTTCAAAAGTTAAGTTGAAAAAGTTCTACTTTATATATGCATTTTTTATATTTTAAGCCCCCCCATATATAGGGAAATGGTCTGATTTAAAAAAAGTATACCCAATGAAAGATGTATATAAATACTACTTATATAATTACTAAAATATATAATTGCATATACATAACAATAATAATAAAATAACTTTGAAGTTCAAATTATTATAATGATTGTAATTAAACAAAAAGTAAATTTTCATAAATCAGTCCAATAATTTCCTATCCTCTATATAAAAAAAGAAGAAGTTAAAAAATAAATCGATTACAAATAATCAATATACATGAATATTAATAATAAAATAACATGTAAAGAAGTGAACGTGTTTATGAATGACAAATAAGATACTCTATTAAATGTAAACACATAAAAAAAAGAGTTCAGTTCACTGTCTTAAAGATATACTTAACTTTCACTACACAAAAATGTCAATTTTTCTTTCTATTTCCCTCCTTTTTATCCTTTATTATGGAAATTTACTAATTTAAAATATGAGGGCATATTTTTTACTTCAACATAGGGGAGTGTAATATAGGTCATTATTTCATAAAACTGAAAACAAAGCATTTTTGTAATGTTTGGTTTAACTATGAATTTCTTAATCTATTATTACAAAAATATAATATAGTTTATTATTTGTAAATCTAGAAGTAGAACACTTATGTAATGTTTAGATTAATTGTAATTCCCCAAATTATTGTTACTAGACCAAGAAGTAAATATTTATAAACATTTTTGAAAATGATTACTATATGAATTTTATAAAAAGACAAACAAAATATTTTAGTATATAAGATGAAACGGAATGAATTAAAAAGGGAGAAAGAGAAGACCTCGGGAGTACCGAAGGTAATCTCTTTCCGTGTGGTACGTTTGTGAGTTTTTATTTTGTGTATTATTTATTTATCCGTATCAATATTTTATATGTTTTTATTTTGATTGATTATATCTTTATTAACTACATTTTGTGTTATTATTGAACTACTAAAAATATAAGTTAGAACAAAAAGATTGTTCCATATTAATACAACAATTGCTGGTATATTTTATTTTGTTTTTAATTTATATTATTTTTATAGTTCTTTAACTTATTCAATATATAATATGTTTCAAGTGATGTTGTTTTTGTGTGGTGGTTATATATTTAGTCTTAGTTATTATTTATATATTAATAACACCTATTGTTTCAATAAACATAATTAATACAAATTAAGGGTGTATTTAATGTTAAATTGTTAGCACTAATTACAAAAAAATTGTCTTTAATTATGACTCCCCTCATTTCTAATAACCAACATGGTTTCAGACCCAAAATGTCAGTTTCTACAAATATTCTACTTTTTCAGGAGAAAATTCTTTCGGCTTTAAATCAACGTGTTCAATTGGACACTATTTATACAGACTTTCAGAAAGCGTTTGATAAAGTAAACCACAATATTCTATTACATAAATTATCTTGTGTTGGTATTCATGGTACATTTTTTAATTGGTTAAAATCTTACCTATATTCTCGTACCCAGGTGGTTAAAATTAATAGTTTTATTTCTAATGAATTTTTGGTTACTTCTGGTGTACCACAAGGGTCGCACTTAGGTCCCCTCTTATTCATACTATTTATAAATGATTTACCATCTATTTTTGATAGCTCAGTTAATATTCTATTATTTGCTGATGATGTCAAATTATTTTCAGTTATTAAATCACCAAAAGATGCAATAAAATTGCAGTCAAATTTAGATAAATTTGTTGAATGGAGTCGTGTTAATTACCTTCCATTAAATATAAATAAGTGTAGTGTGATTACGTTTTCCCGAATAAATAATATAATCACCTATAATTATTTGATTGATAGTAATATAGTTACAAGAGTTGCCTCTATCAGAGACTTAGGGATAATCTTAAATTTTAATTTGGATTTTTCCACCCATATTAACACCTTTATTAAAAAAGCTTTTAAGATGCTTGGTTTTATTAATAGAAGCACGATAAATTTTAAAAATATTAATGCCTTAAAAACTTTATATTTTTCCTTGGTTAGATCTCATCTTGAGTATGGATCAATTGTTTGGTCACCACACTATATATCATGTACCAGTCGAATTGAAAATGTTCAGTATAAGTTTTTAAAATTTTTATGTTTTAAATTAAATATACCCATCTCAAGAGAATCATACAAGTTGCAGATTTCCCAATTGGGGATCGTGTCTTGTGATTTGAGGAGAAATGTTGCGGATATAATGTTCCTGTATGACTTATTAAATGGTCTTATTTATTCTCCAGAATTATTATCTCACATTGGTTTTAATGTACATACTCACGTATTAAGAAAATCTAATTTTTTTCATATTTCTCTTCCTAAAAATATTTATACTTCCTCCTCGTTTTTCCCAAGAGCTCTATCTTTGGCTAACAAAATTATGGATCATATCGATTTTTTTTCTATGTCGCGTTTTGTATTTAGACAAAATGTTTATTTGGCTTTAAATTTAAATTCAAATTCTCTTGGATAATTTATTATTTTATATTTTATTATATTTTTATTCACTACAAACATATCATTATTATTTCTTTTTTTGTAACTGTTTATGTTATTATTGATTTTTACTGTACTTATTAATATTCTTATTGTAAAAGGGTTAACACCCGTATATTATACATAAATAAATAAATAAATAAATGTACTAAAAAAGATAAAAAAGTTCTAACTACTAAAGCCTGAATAAAATATCCCATTAATGTTATTTTTTTTTTTTAATATACATCACAGTTATAACATTTTATTAAAAGATTTAAGAATTGTTTACTTTATGTACATCCAGCATATTACGACGACATTATCTTTAAATGTTCCGGTAATATCCCAATCAAACATACACACAATGTTTCTAGGGTATGTGTATACAATGTTTGAAGGGAACATACTAGTAATGCTTATAAATAACAAACCTTAAATATTTTATAAGTGTTGAAAAAAATGGTTATTAACAAGCTCAGGGACATCGCCTTTATATCATAGTAATAATGTATGGGATGTTACACGTTCCCATGAAACGTTTTAAGAACATCAATAGTATGTAACATTGTACAGTGGGTTTATAATTTTATATTTTTGGTTTTCGTACCCGTACACGCGTGCCTGTCATCAATTATATATATATATAAACAAATTTTTATTTTGACTGACCAATACCGCTCGCGTGTAATGCGCCTTACGTATATATATTTGTATATTCCTACCGCCGCTGCCGCCGTTTATACCTTAGGTATAACGTTCCCCCGGCCACAAAACACAGCTATACCACGTGCATGATACTTTTACGTACTTTACTTGTATATATATATATGATTCCCGTATCGTCATTTTTCGTCACTACCTCCATGTTCCGGGAGTGGGTAATTTACGCGTCTGCTGCTTTCCTTGGATGTGGTAGCCGTTTCTCAGACTCTCTCCCCGGAATCGAACCCTGATTTCCCGTTACCCATTACAACCATGATATTGATAGTAACTACTATCATAACATGAAACTAAAAAGTAAAAAATAAATATAGTTTAAAAAAACTAAAAAAACACGCTTTTAAAGTACATCAAACTAAAAAGTTAAAAATAATTTTTAAAATAAGCTTAAAACAATAATGAACGAAAAATACTAGTATTATTGTGATAAAAGCATGGGTGCTTTAAGCCAAATTTTTCGTATATTGAGCGCCGGATGCTTTTATCACAATAATACTAGTATTTTTCGTTCATTATTGTTTTAAGCTTATTTTAAAAATTATTTTTAACTTATTAGTTCAATATGTTTTAAAAGCGTGTTTTTTTTTAGTTATATTAAACTATATTTTTTTGTTATTATGTTGTGGTTTTATTATGAGTAGTTTAAGTAACATGTTATATGAATATAATATAACAAATTTTTGGAATAAGAGGCGCTCTCTATCCTTGTTAGTAGGTAATAAAAGGCGGTATCCGCTTCTTGTATCTGATAAGAAATTGCTACAAAGGTATTATAACATTTCACACATAAATAATCAATAATTATTTTAAGTTATTTCAATATTTTTATTTATAATGATCAATTATAACTTAAACAAGTTTATTCAAGATTTAATTTTTAAATTAATTTAAAATCATATTTTAGATTACATCTTTTTTATATGCTTAAAACAAAAATTAAGTGGGATGTGTCTTAAAATAGTACATATTAACTACAAAGCTACTAAATTAGTATATTTTTTATTAAATTTGGTGTAACTACTAAAATACTAATTTTTTATTGCAGTCTTTGAAAAAATTGTGAGTTTTTAAATTTTTTTTTTTTAGTATCCTGTTGTCATAATTTTATAATTTTATTTATATAGATAATTTAAAGTCAATAAAATCTTACATATGATTTTACTTAATCCTAACCATATCTTTCAATGCATAGTTGGTGCCACTCAATCAATATTGATGTCAAATAATATTAGTAAGTCTTTTGTTTTTTGTATTTAAATTATATGTAAAATGAAAAATATGTACTTGAAATAAAGTTGTTTTGATATGAATTAATTCCTTAATATTTATTATATATTTCTGACCAACTAATGTTAACTGAACATTTCGGACCTTTATTATGTAATCTCATTACACATAAAAAATGTCTACATACCATAGCTTAATATGAATACCTCAACCAATCTATGTAAAAAATTAAACAGTTTTTATAAAATACCATATTTTTTTTAAATTCTGAAATATTAAAAATTTGTTTTTCAGTTTTATATTCATGGAACAATTTTCATGTCAATGAACAAAATTATTAATACATATTATATAAAGTGAATAGACTAAAATCAAAACCTTTCTGTGATCACTATTAAAATTTCGAAAAAAATCATAAAAGATAGTGCCAAACAAACAAATCTTATATATTTTTAAGAAATAAAAAATAAATGTTTAAAATAAACATTTTTTGTTTGGTAAATTTTTTTAGCTTTTTTGGGAAATTTGATGATAGTCACTTATGAATTTTATTTCTAGCCTACTAATTTTTTGACATTTATTTCTGATTTCTCAAGCAATTTTTATTGAATATTTTAGAAAAACTTTTAAAACTAAATAATTTTAATTATTTGAAGAATAGATTTTTTTTTTAATTAAGCTAAGTAATACTTTTATTTTCAGAAAATAATTTATTTTCTAGTCAATATTCTCCAATAAGATATAATGAAAAAAAAAGCACCTGTAAAAGTTATCATAGACCATGGCAAAAAAATCTCTACTCCAATGAAGAATATCCTGATAACTATACAGACAAATCATTTTTAGAAGAACTAAAAAAGAATCTTCATGTACGAAAACTTACTCTTTATGAAGCAATTCTGGGTGCAAGTTTAATAACTCAAAGACTATGTGTTGTGATATTATTTGCTCTATCTTTTTATACCTTAAATAATAACTTAGCTTCACCTTTATTTCTTTTAATAATTTTTTCTACATTCAATTTCATAATGTATCTCGTTCACTATGAAAATTATAAAACTATTCCATTTTGGTTATTTAAATCTACCATCGCTTTTATTTTATCTGGTTATATATTATCTCCTGTGTTGAAAACTTTAACTGAAACTATCAGTACTGACACAATTTATGCTACTACAACATTTATGTTGTGTATCCATCTGATATTTTTTGATTATGGGGTATCAGCTGTAATAGTTTCAACTTCTCTATCATTAAATGCTGCATTATTTGGTTCTATATGTTTGTGTTCAAGATTACCTTCAGCATTTCATGTTTTTGTCTTAATTTCAATAGCAGTGCAATGTTTTGCAGTATCACCTATACTTTTATCACCAATAAAATCTTCTATTAAGTTGCTCTTGTTCTTTGTTGTTGTTACATTCATATTGTGTACCAGAGCATCTCAATTAATCAGTGGATTATTTGTATTTACTGTTGTATTCATTAATATAGTATGTCCTTACTTTTTTATTAAGTGGCATTCATTTAAAGACAATATATACGGACCATGGGATGAAGCTATTGTACAAAGTATTAAAGTAAAAAATATATGAATAAAAATAAAGAATTTAGAATTATAAATTAGCTGTGTTGAACTAATAAACAATTTATACTTGTGCTCTTTGAAGTTACCTAAATAAATATATATAGTTAATGTTATGATAAATTAAATTGTTTGACTTTTTTACATTTAAATCAGTCTAATGTTATTTTTTAATATTATTTAAAAAATATTTGAATTATTAAATATTATTATTTTTGTGATTTATAAATTATTATCATGATCAATATATTTTATGATGTAGACTACTATTTAGTATTGTAACTGTATTTTCAATAAAACATTTTCTTATCAGTATTTTATACAGAGTGATTTTTTTATCATAACCCACTCAATTACTTACAGAATAATAATAATTTAAACATTTTTTTTTAATATTATCTTTAGTTACACATTATTCTTGAATTAATAACTATGTAATACTTTTTAAGTTCATCCCTTATGCCTGGTAAGGGTATCAACTTTGTTTTTTTAAATGGTAATACATATTTTTAATTTAATAAAATGTTTGAGTTTTTAATTCAATAATAAATGGCATTTGAATTTTTAATAAAATTTAATTTGTTTATTAGATATAAACATTTAAAGTTTCAAATTTTTGAGTTAATATATAGGTATAATACACAAAGGATTACAAATACAGGTAGCTAATTGGTTTTTTAAGATATTGTTATCACAGTCACGGATTGTTTATTATCAATTTTAACTATCAATAGATATACTTTTTGTATTGTCAGTTAGTGTATTTATAAACTCACAACAATGTACCTTATTGATAATAACAATGTTGTGTACCTGCTAATATCGATGTCATAAAAAATCAATTAGCTACCTGTATTTGTAATCCCTTGTGTATTATACCTATATATTAACTCAAAAATTTGAAACTTTAAATGTTTATATCTANTAAACTTTAAATGTTAATATCTGATAAACAAATTAAATTTTATTAAAAATTCAAATGCCATTTATTATTGAATTAAAAACTCAAACATTTTATTAAATTAAAAATATGTATTACCATTTAAAAAAACAAAGTTGACACCCTTACCAGGCATAAGGGATGAACTTAAAAAGTATTACATAGTTATTAATTCAAGAATAATGTGTAACTAAAGATAATATTAAAAAAAAATGTTTAAATTATTATTATTCTGTAAGTAATTGAGTGGGTTATGATAAAAAAATCACTCTGTATAACAAAATGAGTCTCAAAAACCATGCAGATTTTTCTGGATAGTTTTTGTAAAAGATGGACAGATTCGAAAATGGTAATTTTTTAGAAGATCAATATTTTAATCTGAAATTAAATATATGTAATAGTTTATCCTGACGGTCAATCAGATTCAAACATTAATACAATAATCTATTGTAACGTGATAAAAAGTAGTGATGGGAAATATCGAATAGTAACTATCGAACTATTCGATAGTCATTCAAAAACTATTCCATAATTACACATATATTCGAATATTTTTAAAAAAACTATTCGATAGTTACACATATATTCGAATATTTTTAAAATCTATTCGTTAGTCTATTCGAATAGTTTTTAAAATATTTGATAGTTTATGATAAAAATAATATTCTGTAGTATAAACACAATTCGAATAGTTAATCGATAGTTTAAAATATTTGAAAATGCCCATCACTAATTTTTTTTATTATTAATTGTATTCTATTTATAATCGTAGTACCCTGAATAAACAGTTTTAAACAATCCTATTTAGTCGTTGGTGGTATTAAAACAGCAAAACTATAAATCTGACTATAATTTTACATAAGACCAATGTTTTAAAAAAATTAACTTGACATATTTTTTTTTAAGAAACATTTTGTTTGTAAAATGATTTCGAAAATTAAGAATGATTTATATTCAAAAAATTAATTTTAGCAAATTATTTTAGCTTCGATGCGAAACTGAGAAGGTATTGGTTTTACTATGTGTGTTTTTTTTTTTTTTGTGTCTGTTACCACTTTTTCTCAGCTCTCACCGAACGGATTTCTTTCAACGATACGTCAAAAGATCACAAATCATATCTAGTCGAAGACATTACCCTTAAAAATTGAAAAAAATTCCCTCGTTCCCTGTAAATGGGGGAAAACCTCCAAAAAAATTACAAATTTAAAAATCGCTAATTTTCGAAATTTTTCCAATTTTTTTTACTAAAATGTGCCGTAACTTTTTCAAAAATGAACATATCAATATAATTTTTTTTTATATAGATGCTTGATGTCTTTACCTATNGATTTTTTTTTTATATATACTTGATGTCTTTACCTATCATTTGATATATTTTTTTTGTAAATCTGACCCTTTATCTGCCCACAGGGGGGGATTTAAAAAGACAACTTTTTCACAAAAAATTAACTTTTTCAACTTAACTTTTGAAAATGTTCCGGAAGGTCTGACACTTTTATATATATCTTAAATTAAAGCTATTGTAATATACTTTAATTTGACTTCTGGATCTGTCTTCATGGTAAAAATGACTACCGTATTCAAAAATTTGCTATTTTTGTGTTAAAATTCTGGGTTTTGTATTTTATTTTATTTTAAAATACCTGACAAGGGGAGTACAGATTTTCATAAATATTATATAAATNTATCTGACTTGGGGAGTACAGATTTTCATAAATATTATATAAATTAAAATTAATATAGCATAGAAAGTTAAACTTATTTAAATTTGTTTGCTTCTTTTAAGTCGAGAAAAATAACTTTGAAATTTGAACTAGCTTAAATAGCCAATTTTTTTAGCCGACGGTAGCAACGTATCTAGTTGAAGATATTACCCTCAAAAATTGAATAAAAATACTAATTTATTAGTTAAACAGTTAGTTATTACATGTTCTCCATAAAGACAATTAAAATCATTAATTTTTAATGTTTTCAAAATATTTATTAACGAATGAAGTTTGATATGATAGGTTTAAACTACAAAATTAAATCATTTTANGATAGATTTAAACTACAAAATTAAATCATTTTACTTTGTAATTTAATCATTTTTTTACTCTATTTGTGTGTGCTACTACTAGACTATAATATTACAAATTTTTTTGTAACATGTTGCTATATAAATCAATTCTAAAAAAAAAAAGATTTTTAAATTCACCTGACTTTTACAATAGATTTTTACTAATGTAATCAAATTTTATAGTACACTCAATTTGAATAAATCTTTTTAACAACTTTGTTTTGATTGGTTCATTTATTTAAAGTAAATTATTAAAATTAATTAAGTTCTGAATATTTCAATTGCAGAATCTTTTCAAACGCCAAAAGTTACTAGAAAATTATTACTATTACTTCTATTTAAGTTATCTATTACGATAAAAATGCAATTTTTTCAATTAATTTTTTTCGTGAAATGTACCAATGGCGTATTTATGCGCTTACTCCCCCTTGGGACCAGTGCTATTAATATTTTTGAAAGCAGGTATTTACGAAGTATGGCTTTAAAGGTCTTTTTTTTTATTACCATTTTGCAAAATAATTTTTCTAGCACATCTATTTTAGTTAAAAAAATTAAATGAAATGAACTCTAAATAAGCCATTGAAATAAACTGATACCAATTATAAATGAAACAATAGTTAGTTAGTTTTTTACATTTATTTGTTACACAATATCAGTCTTGTAATATTGAATGTTTTTATAGAGTTGTGATTTTTATCACCTATATCTAATGTTACATTTTTGTGAAAAATTGTACTATCAAAAGAAAAAATTATAAAATAATTAATTCTATACTAGAATTTTAGAAAAATAACTTTAGATTCTAATTTCTAAATAACTACAATATAATTTTGCAATATTTTTCAACACATAAAATTAAATTTATGCTATTTTCATTGATAGCTATATTGTAATTAAACATTTTTCCGTTATATATTATTGCTGAGCTTACTCCAGGTACGTTGTTAATAGATGTTATACAGTTAAACATACTAGTTAACCAGTTCGTCCGGTTATGTTTTTATGAATTTATGTAAAACAAAGATCTCTGTAAGTTACCTAACGTCATCAATCCATCGACATCTTCATATTATAGTATAATATTTATATTAATACTTAAATGACTTCTTCTTTATGTTATATATAACTTTGATGCGTAGCTGAGAATATAATAATTTTATAATGATGTTTATTTTTTGGGCCTATTACCACTTACTCTCAATTCTCTTTGGACCGATTATAAAGAACAATACATCAAAATCATATTTAGTCGTAGACATTACACTCAAAAATTGAAAAAAATTTCCTCGTTTCTCATAAATGGGGGAATACCTAAAAAATGTAAAACTTTAAAAATCGGTAATTTTCGACATTTTTTCAATTTTTTTTACTATTAAAATTGCCATAATTTTTTCAAAAATGAACATATCAATATAATTTTTTTTTTATAGATACCTTAGGTATTCACCTATCATTTTATATATTTTTGTGAACATTTGACCCTTTACAAGCCCACAGGAAGGGTTTTAAAATGGTAACTTTTTTACAAAAAATTAACTTTTTCAACTTAACTTTTGAAAATGTTCCAGAAAGACTGAGACTTTTATATATACCTTAAATTATAACTAATATAATATTAAAAAAAATTGACCTCTAGACTTGTCTTGATTGCAATAATGACTACCGTATGCAAAAATATGCTATTTTTGTGAAAAAATTCTTGATATTATATTTTACGTTTTTTAAAATTATGCTGCTATAATAATGTTGCTAGAACTTTCTAACTGCATATTAATCTTAACGATACAATTTTTTTTTTAAAAATTGAAAAAAAAACTAATTTATCAATGAAACAGTTACTTATCCCATGTTCTCCATACAGACAATTAAAATCATTTATTTCTAATGTTTTCAAAATATTTATTGACGAATCAAGTTTGATATGATAATTTGATATTTATCTTAACGATACAATTTTTTTAGTTCTCATAAATTTTTTATTTAATGATATCAATTCCAAACTTGCTAAATGAGCTAAAAGTTATGGTAAAATAATTTTTTTTTTTTATTATAAACATTTACACCAATCAACTTTAAACGATTAAAAAGACCCAGCACAGGGGGATCGCGGCACAGTGGTGACGTGGCAT